TCAGATGAGTGTATGATTTTTGGGCAAAATTCAATCAGTTATAATGAATCATATTGTAATTGCGACCTAAATATTGATCAATTCGTTGAATCATATAATTATTTTGTACTTTCGGATTAAAGTAAATGTCAACATTGAAACCATTTTTTTTTTACAATGTTTAAGATAAAGTAAGACATTTGGAACTAGGAGTATAAGGATATAGTAGTTATGCAAGCCATACCTTTATCATCTGCTAGGTACAGTCTTCACAAGCCGCCTCGGAGCCACTGCCAAGTGCAGCTGGACGATCCAGGTTAGAACCATTTAGCAAGAGAGCTGAGCCAACAGATGTATTCCATGTCGAGGGACACGATACGGCTACTACAGAAACGCCAGCACTAGGGACGATAGAGCGTGGGCCTATTCCACCGGTTACGAGTGATAACCTTCCCTCGGAAATTACTCAAACAATTATATATCACACCGAAGAGCCTACAGTGGAAGACACTTATACCACGCCCACGTTGCAAGGCACGATGAACGATGATGATAGAATACGCGAGGAGTCAAAGTATATTATAGATGGTGATATTACAGATGTTTATATATCGCCAGTCGTGAGCACAACGCCCACAACAGGATACGATTCTGACAGTACTGTAGCCGATCATTCTATCAGGATTAAAGGGTTTATAAAGGGCGAAAACGGAGAATCGGTCAAATCATATGAATTTAGTGATACGAAAAGTGTTATTTTTAGACCAGCTGGCAGTAGGACGGTGACCGGCATCCGCACACCAGGTGAGATTGCCAGGGTTGACGTACTTTCTCAATGGGTTCGAGTATTACCTCGAAGACAGCGGATGGAATTAAGTGGGGTCGATTCGGTGCCGACACTCAAACTTCCTCTACAGAGAAACACTACTGATGCTGCTGATGCTGCTGCTGCTGCTGATGCTACTGATGCTGCTGATGCTGCTGCTGCTGCTGCTACTGCTGCTGATGTGGGCGACGTTAACGATGTTGCATCAGATGAGCTTGTCCGCACTTCAGATATTGATCGAGTTCTTGTACCGACCAGCAACCTGTCGCGTACGGCACTGCTCCAGCGCCTCGCAGGCATAGTGCAGCGCAGGACGCGCCCGGGTGGCTCTACCGTAACAAGTAACGTTTCGGTCCAGCCTGCCGCAACTACGACGGTAAAAGAAGAGGAAGATACGCACTCGATACTACGATTATTATTGGGCAGAGTGATACCCATCGGCGTAAACGTCTCCGAAAGTCGTCCCGACGATGACGATGGTTTTTTCGAGTTTGGAACAGGTGACGCGCCTATTACGTCACGTGTCCCTGATCCAATAGGAAACCTGCTATCTGGCGTAGAGGTAGTTTCGTCGGCACCTGAAACAGTAGGCCCCGTCGCCGCACTAGTCAAGGGCCCTTCACACACATACGCGCCTGGATCGTTCTCCCTGCAGCGTAAAGAGCTCGCGGTGAGTGTCCTCAATCGCAGGAACATTGTTCCAGAGCTGATACGCTTCAATCCGAAAACGGCCATTTTGATTGATCCCAATGGAAGCCTGGAGACAGAATCAGATGCGAGTAGTGAACCGGGGCTCGGCAACGATGGCCTGTCAAACACTTCGCCGGACAGCGGCAAAGAGAACGCACCAGAGAAGGAGAAGGAGCACCCAGGAGTCATAGCTGGTCAGACGTCTTCAATCATTGAGAACATCGAGTCGTCGGAGAGCGATGACAACTTCACCAGTGATCAGATTGGTAGCAGTGCATCCCTGGCGGAGGGAACACCTCAGACTGTCCAAGGCGGCGGGCAGGCACTCTCTCCCCGTAGGAAACCACCTTTATTCGTGAACGTGTATTACCAGTATAGGGATATTATAAATAGAAAAAAGCCGGCCCGACCCACTCATAGAGCAGCTCCCAACCCCACAGGCTAGCGTCTGATTTCTTAATGTATAGTCGTTAAACACGCATGTTAAATGCGGCCATTTGGATCAGCATTGTGCACTTACTACCTTACATGTTTGTTACAGCCTTGTTACAATACAGCGTAGATTATGCACGTGCAAAAACTCCATGGGTACGCAACCAAAACATTAAATGCATCTAGTTCATATAGTCATTCTTGAAGGCGAGCAAGCTGCAAAGCCTGCTATTTGATTGGCCATATATTGAATGTTAACTTTCAAGTACGTTCGATTTTTAACGGGGCAATTTGTTAGATGGCGCCACTCGCATAGTTTGTGAATGAGCACAAGCAGCAGTAACAAGTATTAGGCGTCGAAAGTTATTTGCATACTGAATAAGGTTGCAGCCGCGTTCAACTCTCGTGTAGCTACACATTAAACCATACTGTCGTCGTCTTAAATATTTAGTTCACCTTCTATAGTTTATGATATGAGAATTCTGGTGGGTAAATGTCCGGGGGGTAATTGTCCGGGGGGTGATTGTCCGGGGGGTAATTGTCCGGGGGTGAATGGCATGGGGGTAAATGTCCGGGAATAATTGTTCGGGGGATGATTGTCCGGGTGGTATTTGTCCTGATATTTGTCCGGATTTGTCTATTCACGCATTTATATAATATTTGCTTTATAATGTCATCCGGTGTTCTACCGCAATACTTTCATTTAGGCTTCACATGGAACAACGTATACATCAGTAGAATACAGCAGTATAACGGGGTTATATGCGGAGAATATATATATATAGATATAGTAGTTGTGTCGATGGTCTGTAAATTAATGTATTTATCAGTTATTAAAACGTTTATATTATACATTGCTTATTTTTGATTCACGTGCATTAGCTGTTAGGAAAGAAGACTGTATCGCAACTTCATTAATCCTGTAGCATGTATAGTATGCAATAAAGTAGTATAATACACTTGAATCACAATACACAGAGGAAGGATCGCAAAAAGTAATCTTTCTGTAATCGCTACACTGAACAATTCAGAAGTTTATTTTTTCGCAATGTATATTATACTAGCTAGATACACAATGCATGTGCGTACTACAGAGGTTATCGTCTTGATTTAGACAAAAACCATATATAACCATGCATAGTATCATCATCATCGCGTAGACGTATGGCGTTTTAAATCAGTATTTGTAACAAATGAAACCGCCCGAACGAACGCACCACTCAGACACACAAGTAGATACACACGCGCACCCACACTATATATATCTATCAATATATATATACCTATACTATATATCTATCAATATATATATATATGAGGGGTTTTAAGGAAATAAGATGAGAAAGATTAAAGAAATTACCAGACCAATTTAGTTTCCAAACCAGGAAATTTTTTTTTCAAAACTCATGTTTTACTATAAGATATTAGAAATGTGATTTACGTTCGGCTGTTACGCGCTCTTTTGGAGAGTTAGGCCGAACGCTTACCAGTCTTAATGTAACTTTAATTGCGGGCATAAATTAAGCTTTAATTTCTACATACACACACAACCCACACACGCGCACACGCACGGCACGCACGACGCACGCACACAGACACATAAATATATATATATGATACGAAGGGTTGCTCTATGCTATTCCATGTCAAGTAGTATCTTATGCTCATAAACTATAATGGGTAAACAACGATCCAAAGGTGGAACTGTCTACAGCATAATTAGCACGTCTCTTTAAATCGTTTGCATCTCAATACGCAAAATTAAATTAGGCAACCCAAATTATAACGACAACGGTAATAAACGAAAGGAAATATTTTACGATTATTTCCATATATCCATAATTCTGCTTAATATATTAACGGACACATGACGCCGACATTTCACGTAACAACACTATCACTTAGAACAGATCGAGACAAACGTGTCTGAGTTAAACAATGCTATCTAGCAGTCATTGCTGCCATTTACACGAAGTTATCCTTATATATATATATATATTCCATTACGCGCATTTTTCTATTACACTACCAGACGTTACATTATTCAAGCCCACAATATCCTGTCATATCCATATTACACGCTTATATATTGCCCTGAACTGCTTGTTAGACATTACGAAACAGGGCTATGATGCCTAGTTTTATCATGAATCTCTCTCGTAGCTTAGCCTGCCATAGAACGCCAGGTTTCATATCCACGACGGAATAAATGATACCATATTTTCTATACACACGGTGCCACCTTACTTCCTTATATACCTGCGCAGACGGCTCGAATTGATATCTCAAACACTGCGAGTTGCTATTAAGAGGGTCAACTTTCATCGCCATGCCTAATCTGCGTACAATAATTTCACACCGCCCTGCAATAATTACCCTCTAATTGCGGTATAACCAAAGTGGTAAAAAACCGTCGCCGTTATATGAAACCTGTAGCGGCCGCATCCCTAAACCCGTATTAAAAGCGCGATAACAAGTTAACGAGGCAATTATATTTTTACGACGGACGCTAAAATGGCGCGTGTGGCGCATTAGACCATTATGTGTACAGATAAACAAAATAAAACACTGAGGCACCGTACTTTTATTGAAACCTACTAATAACCTAGCGTTACCTGATCCTAGTATAATATCCTTGTTTCGCGATACAATGGCTTTAATGTGTTTGCAGTATGGCTGTCCTGCGGACGCTATAGCGGTTATAGCAGGGGATGTACTTGAAAGTACGGCTACTCTATGGGGAATACCCAACGAAACAGAATCCAAATGCCAGACAAAGCTTCTGTAGGGTGCAACCTACTGCGACCGTCACCTACACTAGATGCCTGCTACCCTTCTGTTACCTTACCCTGCTCTTATCTACTTCTGTTACCTACCCTGCTGTCTATGCGGAGCCTGCTGTTACCCTACCGCTGCGTGCTGCCTTAACCTACGGCTATTCTACCGGTAAACGCGCTAACTATGCGGCCGGTTAAATAAACCTGCTACAAGTCCGTCGGCTCTAGCTACATTGCTGCCAGTTACACGGCCCGCAATGGCCTCGTCTAGCATACGTTAGTGCAGTTGCGGCAGGCTAGACTGCGGCCCCATTTGCTCCTCCGCTGACTCGCCACTTCAGTCCTGATCGATTCTTCACGGTCGTGCAGCAGCCTCTTGGTCTCGCCAACGGAATCTGATCGACGTACCGAGGAGTCTCTGCAACGATCACCACGTCTAGACACATGGATCTAACGAGCTACTGGTGGGGTCGACGCACCCATATTTTTTCACAGACCCAGCTGTGAGCAATATACAAACAAATGTAAACGTCTTTGCTTCTTAGATATTTTGCAATGTGTGCGCGGTCTTAGCTCTTGCTACTGAACTCTCTTGCCACGTTCCCGCAACCTATACACTTCCAAGAGAGAGTCGCCTAGATCTCCCACCGCATCATTTATCAGACGTGCTACTCGAACACCTAGATATCATTGAGCTGGAGTCATTCCGCAAGTTGCATCTTGCTTAGCCTAAAGTTTAAAAAAAGCACCCCGCACATAAACAATACATACCATTCTAATCGCATCGCACAATTCATCCCTTCTGAAATTAATGGACACAACAACGCCCGCACAACTACCTCGAGAAAGCGTACTCGCCATGGTGTTCGTTGCGAGCGTGCTAGGAGCGCCATGGCGTGGCCGAATCATCAAAGCACAGACGACCATTGCGATGATCCAACCCAGAGCGTTTGCCCAACGCTCGCCGGCATAACCGTTACCATCGTGTACTTAGGCGGCTCGTGCGACAGGGCCAGAGCAAACCGCTCGACGCATGAACTGCAGGTATCAATCATTAAAACTACAACGCTGCGGTGTTATATAAATTCACTGGATATGTGCTAAATAATTGTATGTAGTTATTAAAAAAACAACGCTGCAGTGTAATATAAATTCACTGGACATGTGGTGAATAAATGTAGATATTCAATTGCATCTAGATGCGTTGACAGAAGGCGAAATTTCAACAGAATTTTTCACAGAGGAATGATTTTCATATAACACATCCTCGCTTGACACAACCCTCTTTGATTTTATCGAAGAGAATTTCGCTGACCAGAATAAAAGGAGGTGCGATGAATTTCCAACATGTCCGCCAGTAGGCCGATGGTCGTGTACCAATCATTTCGCAGATATCACTTGACATCCTATCGACACCTTTAATAAATAACGGAAGAGCAAATAAATGTATCAACTCAGCACGATTATAGAACAGCGAACGAACATATTTATCTAGCCTGATTATTAGACGAACGTAGGTACGCGAGAGAAATTTAGAGATAATCTTTTCAGATTGATATCCTCGTGTGCTCACATGTTCACATAGGATTTGAATAACAATATATATATATATATATATATAGTAGTTGTGTCGATGGTCTGTAAATTAATGTATTTATCAGTTATTAAAACGTTTATATTATACATTGCTTATTTTTGATTCACGTGCATTAGCTGTTAGGAAAGAAGACTGTATCGCAACTTTATTAATCCTGT